TTTTTTTTTTTTTTTTCAAATCTGTTTCTTTTAAGCAAGCCCTTCCTTTTCATTAGATGGCTAAATTAATCTCAGTGACTTAGTACTGATCAGTAAGTTTTAAGAAAATGTTAGAAATCACTTGAAAATTGTTGCAACACCTCAAAATCATACCAAATAGAAATGTTCTATTTTCAGTTCTATTTTCAGGGAAAAGGTTTTAAAATAGAGAATGATTACTCTTTCATTCCAGGTAACTTGTTTCCCATTCTCTTCCAGGATGAAAATGGGATAAATAGACCAGTGTGTTCCTATGTTAAACCACTTCGAGCAGGGAGACTTCTGGACACACCAAGGCAAGCAGCAAGATTTGTTAATGTCCTGGGTTATGAAAGAGCTCCTGTTATTGGAGGAGGAGGTAAACAGGAGCAGTGGTGCACTCTGCTGGCCTTTCTCTGTAGAAACAAGGTATTCTGCACATAAATAGAATTCAATAGTAGTACATCATAGTTACCAGTTTCTGATACATTTGTAAAAGAATTAACTTATAGAAAATATGTCAACTTGAACAAGTCCGAATGCTTTCACCATTTTTCTTATATTTTAAATGTCAATTCATAAAGCAAAATTATAGCATCTTTATTTTCTCGTGTATTCACTTCATGTGTTAATTTGATTATGATACTATTTTAAAAGAAATGACAGTACAAAATGAATTTTGGTTTAAAAAATCTTGGTTACATGGTATTTAGTTTAGCTTCAAATGTACATATATTTAAGAATTTGTGGTAAATTGATTAACATCAATAAATTGATTTTATTGAACTAATTTTACTAACTGCTCAAAGTTGTTGAAAATATAAAAATAAATCAGTTGTCACAAGTATTCCAGTACTGTTGAAACAGGACAGAAAAACTAAAGGCTTTTTTAATGTACTATTGTTTTTAAAGTAATTTTATTAAGTCTTGTCAAGAGTGTATATTCACAAGGCAACACACTGTTGAAGGAACTATTTAGGTTAGTGAAGACTGATTTATTGTTTAGAAAGATTTTTTAATTTTAATATATTTTTCGTTGAACTACCTTTGTTTTATATCCTTATTCATTTCACAGTAAAGGTTTCTGCCCTCAGGTGTAATCACTGTAGGTCTCCTATCACCAAATGACCCATAATCTTTCACCATCATCTACTATGGGTCCGCTTTTAAGGGTTAGTTTTAAAGTTTGTCTTTGATCTGTTGTTTGGTTTCTCTATATTCCACATGTAAGTGAAACCATCAGTATTTATCTTAGAAAGAGTTTTGTCTAAAGACAATTTGAAAGCAAACACTTTTTAAAAAAAAAATATTTTCAAGCTATAGTTCTAAAACGTCTGTGTTGTATGTATTTAGATGTTCTTATTTAGGATATAGTATGAATGATGAATACTTAAGGTGATTATGTGACAAATTCTTTTTTAAAAGCAAATAATCATCCTTTGAATTCACTGTTTTGTTTACCCATTTCTTTGAAGAAAAAAAGCACATTTTAAATGTGAAGCTTTAAAATTATGTTCTTACACATATAGTAGCATTATAACAGTAAAGGTGAAGTTTCACCCACAATTCTGGTACAGTTATCTTTTTGTTTTTCTTCTGTGTATATTAACATTTTTCCCATAATTATAATTATAAATAAAACATTGTGTCCTGTTTTGTCATTTAGCATTACAATATGAATGTTTTCCTATATGTTTTTAAAACTTAACAATTTTACAAAATCGTTAAAAAATTTTCTTGCTTGATTCACAAAATCTACTTATTTTCCCATTGTAGGAGTTGTTTCCTTTGGAAAAGTTAGTCTTAAAATTTTTTTTTTAAACATTATTGTGAATGAAGTTTTGTGTCTTTGGTGATTCTTTTGAAAAGTTTTTTGTAGTGTAAAGTCTCTGTATAAAAGTTGCCAGGTCTAAAATGTAGGCATTGTATTCAGAATCAGTTTAGTGATTATAAAACACTATTTTATTAGTTGATGAAAAAGAAATAAATAGTAAAGAGTCACTGATGCAGAGTTTTGGAGAAAGAAATTCTAATATTAGGATGAGTAGCTACATTTTCTTTTACATATTACCTGTTTTACACTTAAATACTAAACTTCATGTAATTGTGCCTTCACATCATTAGTTGTTTCTTATGGTTTAATATTTTAATGATTTTATTTTCATAGTACACAAAGGTGTTTTCTAAATTGTGAAAGCAATACAACATCAAAGAGAATTTAGAATATAGGAGAGAAAATTCTATATAGCTGCCCTAATTCTAGCCATTATTGACATTTTGTTATTAGTCCTCTCAATCATTTTCCTATCTATGTATTTTCTTAAAATGATCATGCATAGATACTGTAACTCATTGTTTATGTCTTAGGTATTTTTCTCTTTTGCTGCTTTCCTGCTGTTTTTTTGACTTATCAACATGTCCTTTATTCTTCTTTAAATCTTACTGCTTTTCTTTCTGTTTTGTCTTAAGGTTTTCATAAACTTTTAAATCCATATGCTTCCTCTTGAAGTGTACATTATGACTCAAGGTTATGAACACTGACTTTGAAAATAATTAGGCTTTCAGGCCCTCCTTGGTGGCTCAGCAGGTTAGGATGCAGCACTGCAAGCTAGCCGGCAGCCACTTTAGTGCAAGTTCAATCCTCCACCTTGGAGGTGATCCACATGGCTTGGCAGACCTCTCCTGACCTCCCTGCTGCTCCCCTCAGCAGTGTATTTCATCCATCTGCCTGTTCTGCTCCCCACTCTGTCTCTGGTGGAACCTCTCACTGCCCCTGCACCTCTGGCTTCTGTATGCATAAATAAATAAATCTTAAAAAAAAATTAGCCTATTTAAAATTAGTGTTCTCTTTTCCTCTATTCAACTTATCACTGGACTAATGATTAAAAGTGAAACATTTAATTGGTAATTTTACATTTAAATGTAATAGTATCCCTCCTAATTCGTGGTTTGGCTTTTCAAATTTTATTTACCCTAGGTCAGCTCTGGGCTGAAAATACTACATTCAGTAAGATATTTTGAGAGAGATCACATTCACATAACTTTTTTTTTTTTTTTAAAGATTTATTTATTTGTGCATACAGAACTGGGGTACAGGCCAGAGGCTCAGGGGCGGTGAGAGGCTTCACCAGAGACAGAGTGGGGAGCAGAACAGGCAGATCGACGAAGTACACTGCTGAGGGGAGCAGTGGGCGGGTCAGGAGAGGTCTGGCTCGCCATGTGGTCACCTCCGGGGCAGGCGGCAGGCGGGAATCGAACTCATGCGGAAGTGGCTTCAGATTCTCAGTGCTGTGCTTTAACCCGCTGCGCCACCAGGGAGGGCCTCACATAACTTTTATTACAGTATATTATAATTGCTCTATTATTAGTTAATTGCAATTCTTTTACTTTGCCTGAGTCACAAATTAAACTTTATGATAGGTATGTGCCTATAGGAGAAAACATAGTTGGATATCAAGTTTTGTATTATCCCCAACATCCACTGAGGGCCTTGGAATGTATTGCTCCTGGATAAAGGGAGGCTACTGTATTTAATAAGGAAACTATATTAGGGACTACTTAATTGTAATTCATTGTGTTTTTTCTAGGGTGATTGTGAAGATCATGCCAACCTTCTATGCAGCCTCCTTCTTGGATATGGATTAGAAGCCTTTGTCTGTGTTGGCACTAAGGCAAAGGGAGTACCTCATGCTTGGGTTATGACTTGTGGAACTGATGGAACTATCACCTTTTGGGAGAGTTTAACAGGACACAGGTTAGTCCACTGAATTTACAAGGTGAACATGTAAATGTTTTATTTACTCATTTTTATTGAGGAATGTTTTACATCAGTGTGTTAGGCAATCCAGAGCTCCCAAGCCCCATTCAAATTTTCTTTCTATATGCGCTCACCCCTGTCTTTCCCTTCCCCCTCTGAATTCCTCAGTTCTGTAATCAGTTTTCTAAGATTAGTTTTAAAGGTTCTTTGTTTAGTTCTCTCTTGTAATTGACACCATCCAGTATTTGCCTTTCTCCTTTTGTTGTCCTTTACTTAACTTAATGACTTCCAGCTCTGTCCATGTTGCAGGGAATGGTATGAATTTGTCTTTTTTGATTGCTGAGTAGTTGTCCATTATATGTAAGTACTATTTTGGCTGTTATGAATAGTGCTGGTGTGAACATGGGAATGCAAGTTTACCTTTGGTTTAATATTTTTTGTGTGTGTTCCTTGGTTAGATTCCTAGAAGTGGGATTGCTGGTTTTTATGGGAGATCTGATTTAGTTTTTTGAGGAATCCCTGTACTGTTTTTCTATAATGACTAAACCAATCTACATTCTCACAACCAGTGCAAGAGAATTCCTTTTTTTCTATATCCCTGCCAGCATTTGTTCATGGTCTTTTGATGTGAGCCTTTCTCACAGGTGTGAGGTGGTGCATCTCATTGTGGTTTGGTTTGCATTCCCTAATTATAAATAATGATGAGCATTTTTTTCTCATGTGCCTTTTGGCCATCTTTCTGTATTCCTTGGAGATGTATCTATTTAGCTTTTTTGCCTTTTTTTTTTTTTTAAAGATTTTATTTATTTATTCATGTAGAACTGGGGTACAGGCCAGAGATGCGGAGGGTGAGAGGATTCACCAGAGACAGAGCCGGGAGCAGAACAGGCAGATAGATGAAGTACACTGCTGAGGGGAGCAGCAGGCAGGTCAGGAGAGGTCTGCCGCACCATGTGGATCTCCTCCAGGGCAGGCGGGAATTGAACTCATGTGGAAGTGACTTTAGCTTCTTAGTGCAGCGTTTTAACCCGCTGAGCCACCAGGGAGGGCCTCTTCTGCCTATTTTTTGATAGAGTTGTGTTCTTTGTGTTGAGTTATATGGAGTTTTTTATGTCTTGGATATCAGCTGTTTGTCAGATTGTTAGTGTACAAATATCCTTTCCCAGTCAATGGGATGTCTTTCTGCTTTAACTATGGTTTCTTTTGCTGTGCAGAAGCTTTTCAGTTTCGTGTAGTCACAGTTTTTTATGTTCTCTTGTTTTCTATGACACTAAAGACACATTTGCAAAGACAACATTAAGGCTTATGGTTGCAGTATTTTGCCTGTTTCTGTGTTTGAGGTTTTATATCCAAGCTTCTTGTCCATTTTGAGTTGGTTTCTGTATGTGGTTTGAAGTAGTGGTGTAGTTTCATTCTTTTGCATGTGGCTGTCCAGTTTTTCTAGCAACATTTCTTTCTTTATTAAAGATTTATTTATTTACACATACAGATTGGAGTACAGGCCAGAGGTGTGGGGGCAGTGAGAGGCCAGAGACAGAGTGGGGAGCAGAACAGGCAGATCGACGAAGTACACTGCTGAGGGGAGCAGTGGGCAGGACACGAGATGTCTGTTGTGTCATGTGGGTCACCTCCCTAACCAGGAATTGAACTCACACTGTAGAGGCTATGGCTAGCTTTGTAGTGTTGTGCTTTAACCCATAGTGCCACCACAGAGGGTCTAGAAATATTTATTGAAGAAGTTTTTCTTGCTCCATTGTGTATTCTTGGCTACTTTGTTGAAGATTAACTGACCATATAGATGTGGATTTATTTAATTATTTTCCTGTGTGTGTTTTGTACCAGTACCATGCTGATTTAATTTTTGCAACTTTGTTTTACGGTTTGAAGTCTTTTTCATCAGGATTGTTTTGACTGTTTGGTGTCTTTTATGGTTCCATATGAATTTAAGTAATGTTAATTCCATTTTTTTGAAGAATACCATTGAAGTTTTTTATTGGGGTTACTTTGAATTGGTATAATGCTTTGAATAGAATGATCACCCTATCCATTAGAGTATTAGGATGGTCTAATCCATAAGCAGTGAATAACTTAACATTTTGTTGTATCTTCTATTTATTTTAACAATGTCTTAATGTTCTTTACATAGGTCTTTCACCTCCTTAAGTAGGTTTACTCCTCAATATTTAATTTTTTGTTGTGATTTTAGAAGAAATCCATTTCTTAATTTCTTCCTCATCTAGTTCATTATTAATATATAGAAATACAAATTATTTTTTCTGTATTGATTTTATGACCTGCCACTTTGCTAAACTGATTGATTGTTTCAGTTAGTTTTTACGTGGCATCTTTAGGTTCTTAGTGTTTATTATCATGTAGTCTGCAGATAATGATAGCTTTAGTTCTACTTTCTCAATTTGGATTCCTTTTATGTCCTCTTGTCTAATCACTATAACTGTATAGAACGGTAGTGATAAAAAGACATCCTTGTCTTATACCAAATCTTAGTAGAAAGGTTTTCAGTTTTTCCCATTTTGATGATGCTAACTGTGAGTTTGTCAGCTTTTGTTACATTGAGATAGGTTCCATTTATCTCCATTTTTTTTCAAAGTTTCTCATGAATGGATATTGAATCTTGCCAGCGCTTTCTCAGGATCTGTATATGTTATATAATTTTATCTTTTTGTTGATGAATTATGATGATTGATATTTGGATGTTGAACCACCCCTGTGTTCCTGGTATAAATCCCTTTTCGTTATAGTGTATGATCCTTTTAATGCATTGTTGCATTCAGTTTGCTAAGATTTTTTTTTTTAAGATTTATTTATTTATTCATACAGAACCGGGGTACAAGTCAGAGGTTCAGGGCAGTGAGAGGCTTCACCAGAGACAGAATGGGGAGCAGAACAGGCAGATTGATAAAGTACACTGCTTAGGGGAGCAGCGGTTGGGTCAGGAGAGGTCTGCCACACCTTGCGGATCCAACTTGCATTGAAGTGGCTGCAGCTAGCTTGCTGTGCTGCGTCCTAACCTGCTGCGCCATCAGGGAGGGCCCTCACTTTGCTAAGATTTTATTGAGGACTTTTGTATCTCTGTTCATTAGAGAAATTGGTGCATTGTTTTTGGTGTGTGTTAATTTTCATTAGAGAATTTTGTGCATTGTTTGTGTATGTGTGTTAATTTTGTCTAATTTTGGTACTAGGATAATGTTGAACTCACAAAATAATGGAGTATTCCTTCTCTCAGATTTTTGGAAGAATTTGAATAGATTGGGTATTAGTTGAACCTTGAAGATTTGGTAAAATTCACTTGTGAAGCCATCTGTTCCTGGACTTTGGTTTTTTGGGGAGAGTTTTTGATTAATGTTTCAATTTCCTTGCTCATGATTGGTCTGTTCAAGTTTTCTGCTTCTTTCCTGTTCAATCTCAAATGGGTTGTGCAGTTCCAAGAATTTGTCCATCTCTTCTAGTTTGTTAAAACCTTACTGACATGTAATTGTTCATAGGAATTATTCTTTGAATTTATGTGGTTTTATAACTTTTTCATTTCTAATCCTATTTGTGTTTTTTCTCTCTCTCTTTCTTTAAGCCTAGCTATTTTCTTTATTTTTTCAACGAACCAGCTTTTGGTTTCATTAATCTTTGGACTGCCATTTTTATTTCCATTTCCTTAATTTTTCATCTAATTTTTGTATGATCTTTAAAATATAGATCTTTGTTATATTGTGCACATTACTGATTGTAGTTTATTAGGGCCTCTTCAGTGACTGTAAAAAATTAACTCAATTAAGATATAGTGTAAATGGGCTCTAAGGAAATTTGTATACTTGAATATTCTGCCCCAATATGATACTGGTAAAAAGAAATGCCTTTACTCTAAATTTTCTATAGTTGACAAATGCTTTTTCTTACTAATCTCTCCTAAAAATAAATTTATTAAATTTCGATTTCTTTTGAAAATTGATGTGGTGTCACCTATTCCAATAGACATTTTTCCTGTCCTTTTGCTTATCCTAAGATTTTGATAGTTAAAAGTGCTCTTTTCCAAGACCGGATGGTTTCTCTCATAGCAGGAATATAAAGGAACAGGCGAGAAAATAATGATAATGATGAACAGCTATATACCAGAGACATTTTGTGGGGGTGGAGTGGGGAATGGGATCAAAAAACAAAGACAGTGGGAGGTGAGCACTGGACTATGATGATGGCACATGGGTGATTTGGTGATGGGAAACCTACAACTGAGATGGAAAAATGCACAAAAATATGTAAAAATAAACTATTATAAATTTTTTTTAATGCTCTTTTCCTCCTGTCTTTCAGTTTTCATTCTTACTCCTTGAATATTCTCAGTTCTCTTTGATCTTGTCTTTAAATCTTGGTGTTCCTGTAAAGACATTCCTGGGCTTTCTTTTCATTTCAAGAGAACCTGAGATCTGGTTCTCTTGAGATGATAATCCTTTTGGTTAGTTATGCCTAATAATGTATATCTGATATGCATTGGGTAAATTCTCATGTTAAAGGATTAAAGTTGTTTTCTATATCATGAGGTGCGCCCAATACAGTTAATAAAGACTAATTAAGGAGTGGGAATACCAGAAAGTAAAACAAGTATAAATCTCTAGTCCTGGGAAATAGTTATACCCTTAGGTATTAGAATAATATATTTCCTTTGGATGATACTGTGCCTTCATAATTTTTATTATTTTTTTAAAGATTTATTTTCTTATTCATACAGAACTGGGGAATAAGCCAGAGAAGCCGGGGCAGCCGAAGCCAGAGATAGAGTGGGGAGCAGAACAGGCAGATCAACGAAGTACAGTGCTGAGGGGAGCAGCGGGCGGGTCAGGAGAGGTCTGCCACGCCATGTGGGTCACCTCTGGGGCTGGGGAATCTAACTCGCACTGGAAGAGCTGCGCTATAGTGCTGTGCTGCATCCTAACCTGTTGGTCCACCAAGGACGGCCTTTTTTTTTTAGAAAAGATTTATTTATGCATCAAGAACTGGGGTACAGGCCAGAGGCTTTGGGGATTGAGAAGATTCACCAGAGGCAGAGTGGGGAACAAAACAGGCAGATTGACTGAAATCACCCCTGGGGAGCAGTGGGCTACACAGGAGAGGTCTGCTGCACCACGTGGGTCCCTGGGGATGGAACTCATGCTGCAGTGGCTGTGAATTGCTTCATAGTGCTGCGCTTTAACCCCTTAAGCTACCGGGAGGTCCCAATTTTTAAATTTTTTTTTAGATTTATTTAT